CACACATACATTTTAATTATACTCATTAACACAGGTAGAGTATTTCTCACACAAATCTTTCAAGTATAAACATAGGCTCTTATGATTAACATGACTCATTTGGACACAGATATTTATAAAACACAAATATGTGAAAACATTACCGTATTTGTTTTCTCAGTCATATTGGGAATACTCAATCAGATTGAATCAACCAATGATTGATGGTATAACTAATGCCATATGAGAAGTGGGATACTTTTTAATAATTAAAAAAAGAGAGTTCTCCTACCCACTAGGTTTGCTTATTTATTTTTAACTCATCAGAGAACTGAACCCCAGAGAAGGCATGTGACTGGCCCAGAGTTGCCAAGTCTGAGCTCAGGACTGGAGCTCAGCTTGAGTCGCTGAGGTAGATACCTGAGCAGACACCACCATGCAGAGTTCTGCCAGTGTCCCAGGCTTTCTTCTGAGAGATTGAAAATGAAATCATCCTTTAAAAATTAATTTTCTGGGCCTCCCTGGTGGTGCAAGGGGTTAAGACGCAACCTATGAAGCTATCTGCACACACTGCAGCATGAGTTCGATCCACGGCCAGGGAGCTACCCACATAGCCCAACAGACCTCTCCTGTTAGCCTGGGAGAGTGTGATCTCAAGGGTTAGGTGACAGCCTCCTCTTAGCCATCTGCCAGGCCTAAAAACCCTTCTGCCTGCTTCTTCCTCAAAGATCAACCAACAAGGCTGGCATCCAGGAGGTTGGGGTGAAGAGTATCTTCGCAGACTCAAGCACTCACTCATGAATCCCTTTAATTCATTCTCTTCCCCCTCTTTTCTTGTATCAGCTATGACCAGCTGGAGCTAAATATTTCCCAGGTGCATGATTTCACTGAGCAGGGGAGGGCAAAGCAACAGCCATTAATGCATAATCAGCCTTCATGTGCTTTTCTTGCTTTTCATAACGGACCCACAAGTCCTGCTCTTTTGACCTTTAGGATATGATGAGTCTGGAAATAATTCTCTTACAAAATCAGAAAAAATCCTCTGGGCATGGAGTATCCATAACTAAGCTCCCATTAGGACAAAGGACACAAATACCATAAAACTAGGTGGGTCTTGGTCTTGGAGAGAGGGGGAGTCAAAGGGCAAAAAGCAGCTCCGCCCACCAAGAGCATCTTATCTCTGGCCCCACCCCTTCCTGTCTTTTGTCAGTTGCTGGGAGAGAAAAACAGTCAACATAAACTGAGCAGCAATTTTGGGTGTGCTTCATTCTCTGAGGGTTTCCCTTGAAAGCCACTAAAAATAAATATATAAGAAATTGACATGGGGGAACTCAAGGAGATAGACAACTGTAGATTTCCAGCAGGAACTGACAGAAAAAAAAAAATCTCAGGACAGCAGCAGATGTATGGCTGAATCACCAGAATTCAAAATATCTTTTACAAGATAGTAAATCATCAGAATTCAAAATTATCAGAATTCAAGATGGAAAAAGTCAGTTTATGTCCATTTAAAGTTGACAATCCGGATTGAAATTTTAAGTTTATCACTAACATATATGAAAACATTTAGGAGCAAAAGCAACTATGTGCACTCACACATGCACACACAAATGTGTTCAGCATGATTCTGTTCAAAACAGGCAATATTGAGACATGGTGTGGAGGATGCATATTTAGGTGGTAAAACTAGAGAAAAAAAAAACACAAACAAATGAGGAGGTGATTACTTTAAGTCAGGATAGGATTACGTGTAGCAAATTTCTGGGGTGGTCAAGAAATATGGAGCATTTGCTCTATAATCATTTGCTATTCACTTCTACTTTATGACATTTTATTTCACAATAAAAATAAGTTAAAAAAGAAAAGGAAATAATTTCAAGTACACAAGATTACAACGTTACATTCAGAAGCTTTAGCAATTTAACAAAAGACTGGAGCCAATACCAGAAAAATTCATGCAAGAGAAAGCAAACATAGTTATTTAAACAAAAGGCCGTCCTCTCCCAGTCTAATTTTATGGTTTGCCTTGGTGTGGAGACTCAGAGTCTACACAGGCAAAACCATATTAGAAAACCGTATATGCTCAGGATGATAAACGTAGCACACCTACAACAGAAGCTGTGCTCACACCTCCTCACCATTACCACTGTTTACAGAGCACACACACATACCTTAACTCCTGGCATTGGCTGATCTCCACGGCAGAGACAAAGAAAGCAACCTCAGAGAACAGAAGGCTCACCTCAGCACCAGCTCAAGAAAGCAAAAACCAAACCAGTACCAGATCTCAGAAGGCCACTTAAGGGCCACTTGATGACAACTTTCTCATTTCCAGGAGACCAACTTTTTTTTTTTTTTTTTAAGATTTATTTATTTATTTATTTATACAAGCACTGGGTACAGTTAGAAGCGCAGGAGGGTGAGAGAATTCACCAGAGACAGAGCGGGGAGCAGAGCAGGCAGAAGGACCGAAGTACACTGCTGAGGGGAGCAGCGGGCGGCAGGAGAGGTCTGCGCGCCATGTGGGACCCTCCTCCGGTGGCCGGGGAGCAGCCAGGGATCGAACCTGCGCTGCAGAGGCTGTGGGCAGCTTCGCAACCCAGCGCTCAACCGCTGCACCACCAGGGAGGCCGAGACCCACATTTTTTAACATGGTAATAATATGAAACACATGACTGTCAACATGAGAGGGTCACCTCCTCTGACTCACTTTCAATTTTCAATTAGGCACCTAACCAGGGCATTATCAAGACTGGCTTCTCTAGACCATGATACCTTGAGAATGGAGTTATGTCCTCTCCTTTCAGGGACCCGAAGGCTTTGCACACTTTCTGGAATTTGGTATGTTCATTAAACATATGCTAATGGATGAGTAAATGAATGAATGAGTGAAGGAATGACTATATGAAGATACAGACTAGTGAATTTACAGTATTATATCTTCCATCCCAACCATCATTTCTGCATGGTGCCACTTGCATTAAGACTTCTAAGCTGGGCCTCCCCAGTGGTACAGGGGTTAAGTCTCAGCATTATCAAGCTATCACCAGCCACTGCTGCATGAGTTCAAACCCTGGCCAGGGAGGTAATCCACATGGCGCAGCAGACCTCTCCTGTCTTGCCTCCTGCTCCCCTCAGCAGTGTATTTCAGTAGATCTACCTGTTCTGATCCCCACTCTGTCTCCGGTGAATCCTCTCACCCTCTGCACCCTTGACCTAAACCCCACTTCTTGTATGCATAAATAAAATTAAATCTTAAAAAAAAAGACGACTTTCAAAAGCTGCTAAAATGACAGGTGGTAACCACCCTATTAACAGAGTGCCAATATGTCCTCTTTTAAAAAAAAAAAAAGTTTCACATCATATATAAATTCAGCAGTGGAGTGGAGAGGTTAATTATAGACACAAAGAGCAGGGATAAATGGACTATGAGGTAAGCGAGTCTAAATGTGCCTTCCTGGGCAAGCATTTATTAATAAGCCTGCAAAGATTTACTGGGCACAGCCAGGTTCAGCTCTGTGCCAGGTTTGGGGGCAGGGGCCCAGATGAGGGGAAGGCACAGTTTCTATGCTTGAGGAATTCCATGGGGGCTGGGGAAACTGTGTCTGCCTACAAGGATAAACAGAAGGGCCCTGAGGATGGCAGGTGGAAGAGGAAATGAAGACCTAAAATATGCACCTGCCCTTTGTGGGGATGAGATTGTCAGAGAATCTCCTACAACTCCACTAGGCCCAGCTGGAAGGCAAGGTCGTTGGGACTGCAGCCGGCAGCGAAGCCAAGAGGGGCCCCCCAATTCTTTTTCCTCCTGCACCTCCCACCACACTTCTTCAACCGCTGGAAACAGGAACTTAAAATCAAAATGGCCCATAGGGATCTTCCTGCGCCCTCTCCACCCTCCCCAAGAAAAAAAGGATGTTCAGAAAGCGCAGGGGCAAGTTTAGAGTCAGCTGAAGCAAGCAGATGCGCCCAGAATGGAACGTGAGGTGAGGAGTTTAGGGTGTGCTTTTTGCTCCCTATTCTCAGCCAGTCAAATAAGATTTACTGGCTGCCTTCTAGGTGCAGACAGTGAAGGTAGCACTCTCAGCAGGTCATGAAGCATGCTTGTGGCCAGGCTCACTGCCCTGGTTCTCCAAACACTCAGGCTGGGTTTTCCTCCCGGTTCCGCTTCTTTTAGGAGCGATGGGTCTGGTGGTCTCCGACTCAATCCCGACCCTTCCAAAGAGATGAGGCTCTTGGAAGAAGTTTTCAAGCACAAACCTCTTCTCCCGACACACACACACTAGATGGAAACCCCAGTGCACCCCAGCATTCCGGAGAGGAAAACGGTCGAGGGGTTGATAATGCGGGAAACGCAAGCACGGCCACCACCCACAGGGCAGAACTGTCCCAGGGTGTCTATCGCCTTTGTTTCCAAGCAGCCAACCTTAATTCCAACAGGCGCAAGGGAGGAGAGGACTGGCCATGGATCAGGTCGAAAGGAGTAAAAACTAGCTGTTTCGGTTGTTTTTAAAGTAAATCTCACTAGGTCTCCCCCCACCCCGTATCGTCCGACCCACTTCACCTCCTTCCCCAGGTCTCTCCCGCAGCTTCCAAACTGCTCTGCAGCACCCTCGGCTTATGAAAAACAGGGAAGTGGTATCGCCCAGCGTGCGGGATCTGGGGGGGCGGAGGGGCTCACCCCTCGCCGGCGAGGTACGCCCACACCCCGGGCAGCGCTCTCGGGGTGACCTAAAACTGTCTCCCCCACCCTCGAGCGCTGGTTAAGGGACCCCCCGGCCGGCCGCCGTCTGGCCCCGCAGCGCGCGCCTGGGAAGCGCAGAAGCGGCCGGCGGGACCTCCGCGCGCCGCTCACCTGGATGCGCCCGGGCTCCCCGCTCCGTCCCGCGCTCCCCGCTCCGCCCCGCGCCCCCCGCTCCGTCCCGCGCTCCCGACACCGCCGCCTCGGGCAGCGCCCGCGGGGCCCCAGCCCTCCCGCCCCCTCCGGGACGCGCCGCTCCCCGTGCGCCCCAGGCTGCGCTCACCCGGGAAATGGAGAGCGGCTGCTCGAAGTCCTTGCCCCCCACGAGGCGGAAGCCCCACGGCCCGGGGCCCTGGAGAACGATCTGCTGGGTGGTCATGGCGCGGCGACAGCGGGCGGCGACTCGCGGGGACCGGCCGGGCAGACGGCGCACTGGGCAACTCGGGCCGCGTCCAGAGACAGAGCGCGCGGCGCGGGGCCCGGAGCTGGGGCGGGCGGCGGAGGGCGGGGGCGGCTCCGCCCAGGTCACGGCGAGGCAGCCACGCCCGTCCTCCCGCCCGCGGCCCGCAGCTGCTCCCCGCCCAGCGGGTCCCGGGCGTCCCGCGGGAGGGACCGTGGAGTGAGGCCCGGGGGCCGGGTTCTCTGCAGCTCCTGGCCGGACCCCACCCCCGTCCGGGTCCCATTCTCTGCCCGCCGCCTGCTCCCGGCCCAACGAGGGCGCTAGCTGCGGAGAAGCCGGTTCCGACCCAACGAGGTGGTGGTTAAAAGTTAAGAAGTTGGGTGCCGGGGCCTCCCTCGTGGCGCAAGGGGTTAAGCACCGCACTATGGAGGAATCCGCAGCCTCTGCAGCACGAGTTCCATCGCCAGCCGGCCAGGGAGCAACCCACATGGCGCAGCAGACTCTCCTGCCTCGCCCGCTGCTCCCCTCAGCAGTGTATTTCAGTCAGTCTGCCTGTTCTGTTCCCCGCTCTGTCTCAGGTGGATCCTCTCACCCCCACAGAGTGAGAGGATCCTGTGCCCCAGCTCCTGTACGCATAAATAAATCTTTAAAAAAAAGAAGTGGGGTGCCAACTCAGCCCTCTGAGGTCAGCTCCATGTTCACTTTTGCTTTCTGTAGATGATCGTGGTATTTCAAAGGTGTTTCAAAGCATTTGATGCTTAGGGGTGCACCGGGCCTTTACCCTCATTTCACAGATGAAGTAACTGAGAGGCCAGAGATTAGAAGATTTGCCCGAGGCCACACAGCTGTCAGTGGTGTAATCCCCCCCACTGTGGGGGCTCCCTGAGCAGGAAAACCCCAGGGGGAGCTTTTCTGATGTTAATGAGACCATCCTAGATGTTATAATTGAACTTCAAAACCTTCCTAGAAACCTTACCTCCAGGTTGGAGTTCGCCTTAGGTTCTGACCTTCCCAACAGTTCAAACCTCAAGTATGGGCCAGGTCTAGGGCTAAATGCCAGGAAAAGGAACTAGACTGAATAGGAAAACCTGGATTCCCAGGCCACCAGCCCCCAACTAGGCTCCCTGCCATGCTCATCCTTAAGTGCAGTCTCTACCCCAGGCCAGGCCACACCTCACTCCATCCCTTCTCCCACAGTAAAGCAGAGATCCTTGCAATGCTTACAAGGTGTAGGGTAAATAATTGTCAGGCTTTTCTGCCCTCCCACCATTAGCGTTGATGATGGATCCCTGCGGTCCTGAATGCATGCCTGATAGCGGGCACCTGGAGTGAGGTGTGGGCCTACGTAGCTGGGTAAACCTGGCCTGAGACGGGGCTATAAAGGCGGTGTCACGGGGACACCAGAGGAACAGAAGAGAAGAGAACTAGTGAGAGAGAGCGAGAGAAGGACGAGAACGCTGGAGAGCCCAGAAAGAGTGAAGACTTGCTGGGGGCTGGGAGGCCTGCCTGCCGTGTAGCTGGTAAACTCAATAAAAGCCTGAAAAGCCACCGAGGGCTCCTAGGACTCCTCCTTTATCCATCTACATGGGAATCACAGAAACTGCTCCGTGCTCATCCTGCCATTACACAGGGCCAGCCACAGACTGGCCCCACCTCTCTCACCTCTCTCCTGCTGCCCACCGCCCTCCTCACTCACCCGTCTCCTTGCTCCAGCCTCAGGGGCTTGCGTCAGAGTCTTGGTCTGGAATGCTCTTTTCCCAGGCAGCCATGGCTTTCTCTTTGTTCAGATGTCATCTCAATGAGGCCATCTCTGCATGCCCCGTTTTAAAATCTCCTTTTTAGACTATCCTGTCACCTCCCCCTGCCTTTTCTTTCATCATCTGCCACACTCTGTTTTTTACTTATTATTTGCCCCCTACCGTTACCCCCAAGCAATAGTTCTATGAGGGTATGGGTTTTATCTGTGTTGATCGCTGCTGTATCCCAGGACCTAGAATTGCGCCTGGCCCACAGTATTTAATGTATGTAATACACTGACTATTCTTATGACCACTCACCTAGGTTCTTCATAGTTTTCTTAACACCCATTCATTCTGGCACCTGGGCCCCAGCACAGTGCTTGGCACAGAGCATGTGCTCAATGTGTTTATGAAAAATAGGGTTCTGTCTCCATGTGATCCTGGCCTACCTACCCAGAAGCCCTGTGCACAGCTTTGCACAGCAAAAAATCATCTTACTTGTCTGATTGTATCACAGCACAAATGACTTCATTTGGGAATGGTTTGCTTGTTTTTAGAAATCTAAGTGGATTTGATATCTGTCCATCCCTCTTACTCCCAGCATCCTGATATTCTTTCTTAAATCTGAGAAAAAGGAATAGAGTTACATTCAGAAATGAGCCACCTGCTTCATGGAAGCCAAAACACACCCTTTTGGATTAAGATTTGATTATACTGACTAGAAAACATGCCGGTGTTTTAAGTTCCTGAAGAATTTTGGGGAGTCACCAAATTCTAAGTCTGCCTTTAGATGTGTAGCAGAAATACATTGGGGGGGGGGGGCGGAGAAAACTTCCTGTGCTCAGGGTGAGTCTGCCTGTCATTCATCCCCAGGTGTAGGACCACAGAAATGCCCAGAAGTGCTGATTCTTTACAATCTTCTTTATAGAGTTTGAGCACTGGTACTTCTGTGATGAGTGGTGAGTCCTCATTTGCTTCGTTGTTAAATGTTTTCTCTTGTAGTCTAGTTCTGCATAGCGGGAGCTATAAAACAGTCAATGCTTGACCCTGTTGTCCCCTTTCTGGGCACTGATTCCAAGAACATAATTTAAAATAAGAAAAAAAAAAAGCTATATGTACAAGGATATTTATAGCTACATTATTTATAATGACAGAAAACTAGAGTCAACCAATAACAGAAAAGTGGCTAAATATGGTATGGTTCCAGGAGGGAATAGTATGCAGCATGGACATGATAACCACAAAGACAGTGAGGCAGAAAATGTGTTTTCAAAATATGTAAAAAATGAGTGGAACAAAGTTATTTGTAAGCCAAACATTATTTGTAAAATGATTTGAAATGTTTATGTTAAAAAAAAAACTATGTTCTCCTATTGCTAAAAATTAGAAGAAAGTACAAAAACTGTGTTGGAAGGTGGGCTTGGGTGATTTTTTTTTTATTATATCCTCTAATGATAATTCATGTAAAGTTTTCAAAATAAAAATCAATATAAAAGATGGAGTCTAAATGCTAGACTTGGGCCTCCCTGGTGGCACAGCGGTTGAGCGCTGGGTTGCGAAGCTGCCCACTTCCTCCGCAGCGCCGGTTCGATCCCCGGCTGCTCCCCGGCCACCGGAGGAGGGTCCCACATGGCGCGCAGACCTCTCCTGCCGCCCGCTGCTCCCCTCAGCAGTGTGCTTCGGTCCTTCTGCCTGCTCTGTTCCCCTCTCTGTACCCAGTGCTTGTATAAATAAATAAATAAATAAATCTTTTTAAAAAAAATCCCCCTCTTTGAAAAAAAAAATAAATAAATAAAATAAATGCTAGACTTTCTGGGGGTCGGGAATCTTATCTTCTCTCCTCTTGCTCTCCCTTCCCCTTTCGGACGCTAAGTCTGAGCTGGACACACAGCATGTATTCAGAAAATACCGAGTGTCAGATTGACAACTCTAACCCCCAAACATAGGCAACCTTGTTTTCCTTAAACACCATGACTATCCCTCAGGCCCTTGACCCCTGCCTAGTACTAGTTGAAGGACTTCAAGCAACCTCTCTAAACTTCAGTTGCCTTATTATTATCATAATGCATTCCACAAGTGTGTTGACCATCTGGGGGGGGGGGGTTGAGGTGGGGATGGGAATGCTGAAAAAAGGAAGACAGGAAAAAGAGGAGCAGTGCTCCAGGAAGGGGGGGGGGCAGTGGGTCTTTCCCGCTCTCAGTTCAACTTCACAAATGGACTGAGAGTATGGTAGTTGCTGGCCCCTTCTCCCAGCCTGGCCTCTGCAGAGCTGGCACCCCTCCAGCCTCACCCCCAGAAACAATTTCCTGGACCCTCCAGAGCTGATATTGGGAGATTTTTCTTCCTGGAACTACAGTCCCCCCACCACCCTTTTTTTAATTCCTGTTGCTCTTTTGTATGTTTATATATGTTTTAAAATTATGTTTAGTGAAGTAACAATTTACAACATTGTAATGTTTTAGGAGTACAGGTTCACACCTCTACAAACGCATGGTATCACACCATGCTCCCCACCAAAATTCCAATAATCCTCCATATCGTCCTTGTACAGCCTATTGCTTAAGGACAGGGCGGCCAGGGCTGGGCGGGCTTTACATAGGACTTTATTTAACCACTCTCCAGGATGGGGTCCAGGACTCGCCCAGGTGACTGCAGAGCTCTCCTTTCTAGGTATGCCAGCCAGGACCCCTCCTCTGAGGCTGAGAGTTTCTGGCCAACAGGAGTGGGAGCCTAGTTGACTCCCAGACTCTCCGCCTACGCTGGGATCTTTCCAGCCGGTGAAGGAGCAGGAAGCCCCAGCCGGCCAGGGCGCAGGGCACACAGTGGCTCCTGAGGCCCCAAACCGGTGTTACTGCCCCGGGGTGCCCTGGTCAAATAACACCCTACCGTCTTCTCTTTTCTGTAAAAAGAACTGAAACCCAACCTCAGAGGCTCACAGAATTGACATCTTTCCCCACCCCGTCCTGTTCAGCCTGTTTAGTCCCTTCCACCCCAAAGCTACTCCAGGGCCAGTGCATTCTTTAGGGGACCCCAGCTGCTGCTGCTCCTGCACTGCTCCAGGACAGCCAGCTGCAGACCAGGGGAGGTACCCGCAATTGTACAGAGGACTGGGCAGGGAGTCTGGCACACAATTCTTGCTTTTCTCCTGCTTCCTGCTCCAGCCCAGGGGAAATCCTGAAGTGGCTGCTTGGGATTGGACGCCTCCACCATTCCAGTTGGCACAGAGCATGCTCCATGTTGCCAGGAGAACACCTAGGCCGGCACCTGGCTGGCGTCCCCTCAGGGCT